GGGGGGGGGGGAGCAGGCTCCCCGCTGAGCAGAGAGCCTGATGCGGGGCTCGATCTCAGGACTCTGAGATCATGACCTGGGCTGAAGGCAGAGGCTTAATCCACTGAGCCACCCGGGCGCCCCCAAACCATGACATATTATAATTCTTTTAACTTTAAGTAATCTCTACACTCAATGTGGGGCTCAAACTCACAACCCTGAGATCAAAAGTCACATGCTCTTCCAACTGAGCCAGCCACGCACCCCTCTTTTAACTTTATATTAACGGTAAACAAAACGTTTTTGAGATTAATCACATTCAATCAAATCAAAAGTTCATTCCCTAAAATTAAGCACCAGAGTCATTCAAATAACTAAATGACATTAATGAGCACTTAGCTCATAAGCTCAGTCAATAACCTAAACTTATGAATAGTGCTATATACAATAGGTACTTGATCATGAAACCTACTTCTATAAACACCTGCAAAGGCATACTGAGAATCGATAAATAGAGTTATCAATTACATGTTCTATACTTGATTTATAAAGTCAGAGTAATACTTAAATTTTGAGCACAGACCTCCAGTCTTTGCCTAATTATTTATAATAATTAATTCCATAGGTACAGTTGCTCAGAATGGACACACCCTAAGATATTCCCTCCTTTTTTTTTTAATATTCCCTCATCTTTTAACAAATTATGCACCTGTGTTTCCCAAAACAATGTTTTGCATGAAGAATACACAGGTTTGGGGCTCAATAATTCATTAAAGATCATAAAAAGGCTCAACATCACTATTACTATTCCCTCTTTCATTTTATTGGCAACTGTTCAAAACTTAAGCAATTTACCATGCTTGTTAATCTGCTGCCTCTGATTAAAAAACAAACCATCTGGGACGCCTGGGTGGCTCAGTTGGTTGAGCAGCTGCCTTCGGCTCGGGTCGTGATCCTAGCGTCCTAGGATCGAGTCCCACATCGGGCTCCTTGCTCAGCAGGGAGCCTGCTTCTCCCTCTGCCTCTGCCTGCCATTCTGTCTGCCTGTGCTCGCTTGCTCTCTCTCCCTCTCTGACAAATAAATAAAATCTTAAAAAAAAAAAAAAAACCATCTACAGTCCAAACTGTAGATCCATGACATAATTAATATTATTTATGCTTATTCAGAGCCCAGATCAAAACCTTTGCTAAAATCTGAACAGGCAGAAAAAAAAAATCTCAAGATGGACATTAACTCAATCTTTAATACAAATGTTTTCTTTCTTATTTTTTAAAAGTTTTTGAAGGGGGCGCCTGGGTGGCTCAGTGGGTTAAGGCCTCTGCCTTCGGCTCAGGTCATGATCCTGGGGTCCTGGGATAGAGCCCCACATCGGGCTCTTTGCTCCGCAGGGAGCCTGCTTCCTCCTCTCTCTCTGCCTGCTTCTCTGCCTACTTGTGATCTCTGTCTGTCAAATAAAAATAAATAAATAAATAAATAAGTTTTTGAAGATTTTTGGGACGCCTGGGTGGCTCAGTTGGTTAAGCCGCTGCCTTTGGCTCAGGTTGTGATCCCAGGGTCCTGGGATCGAGTCCCACATCGGGCTCCTTGTTCAGCAGGGAGCCTGCTTCTCTCTCTGCCTCTGTCTGCCACTCTGCCTGCTTGTGTGTGTGCGCTCTCTCTCTCTCTGACAAATAAATAAATAAAATCTTAAAAAGAAATTTTTTTGAAGATTTTTTTAAATTTATTGGGTGGGGAAAAACAGGAGCAGAGGGAAAAGCAGACTCCCTGCTGAGTGTGGAAGAACCGATCCTAGGACCGCGAGATCATGACCTGAGCCATAGGCAGACGTCTAATCAGCTGAGCCATCTAGGTACCCTTCATGTTTTCCTTTTCAAAGGACAGGAATTAAAAAAGAATCTTACTATGCAGGCTGCGACTTTTAGTATATTTAACCTTTTAAAACCTTTTCCAGGGGCGCCTGGGTGGCTCAGTGGGTTAAAGCCTCTGCCTTCGGCTCAGGTCATGATTCCAGGGTCCTGGGATTGAGCCCCGCATCGGGCTTTCTGCTCTGCAGGTAACCTGCTTCCCTTCCTCTCTCTCCGCCTGCCTCTCTGCCTACTTGTGATCTGTCAAATAAATAAATAAAATCTTTAAAAAAAACTTTTCTGTGTGAATGTACACATGTACATTATAAATATTTCTAGAGGGGATTTATTATACATGGTATTTTATAACTTGCTTTTTATCTTTTTTTTTAAAGGTTTTATTTACTTGAGAGAGTGAGTGAGAGCGATCATAAGAGTGAGGTAAGGGGCAGAGCGAGAAGCAGACTCCCTGCCGTGCAGAGATTTCTTTTCCCCCCCTCCACCCGCCAAATGTGGGGCTCCATCCCGGGACTCCAGGCTCATGACCTAAGGAGAAGGCCAATGCTTAACTGACTGAGCCACCCAGGAGCCCTTGCTTTTTTTTCCATTTAGTAATATAGCATAAGCATCTTCCCACATCCATCTTTATCTTGATTAGAACATTATTTTAAATGGATGACTAAGGTGCCTCATTAGCGCAGTAGGTAGCGCATCAGTCTCATAAACGGATGACCAGTACATGACTATACAAATGTATCATGACCTCATCAAATCATATTTCTGAACACTAATTTTATATGTATATTTCATTTTATTTTTTAAAATATTTTTATTTATTTGACAGAGAGAGAGAGCGAGCACAAGTAAGCAGAGAGGGGAGGAAGCAGGCTCCCCGCTGAGCAGAGATCCTGGGCTCAATCCCAGGATCCTGGGATCATGACCAGAGCCGAAGGCAGAGGCTTAACCCACTGAACCACTCAAGCGTCCCTAGATATATATTTAAAAAAGAGACAATACACACATGATCAAACAGTTCGAGAAGTCACCTCATTCATGTTACCTACCCTGTACTTTAAATCCTCTGGTTTCCCTTAAAGGGTTTCAGACGCTTTCCCAAAATATGCCACTTTGGCATGTGGATTACTTTAAGTTGAAGTCAAATCAAGGCCCAAAGACAAAAAAAGCTTTTACCTTCTCCTTAACTGCTTAAAGGAATTTAGATAAAGGGCCCCGTCCAGGAAGAGGATATTAGAGAAAACTACAAAGAATTTGGGCTAGGTGTGCTTAAGCTGGGGGAAGCTCTACCAGGCCTGGAGATCAAATTCCTCTCTGGTCCCACACTCTCGGTATGGTCTGGTAAACATTTGTTTATCAAACATTTGTTCTTCCCACCTTCTTGTAAACTGTCTCTCTCCCCTTTGAAGTCTCAGACCCCTATCCCCCCACCAAGCTCCGGATGGCAAATAACCCTCAACCATCTGACTGTCTGCAGCTCTCATACTCCTATGTGGCTTCTGTACATACTTAAATTTGTTTTTCTCCTGTTGGTCTGTTTTATATCAATTTACCAGCCAAAGAACCTGGAATAGCAGAGGAAAAAACTTTTCTCCCCAACAGCTGGTGAGCCAGGCAGGAGCAACTTGACTGACTGATCACTGCTTGCTCCGGGGCTACGGCAGCTGAGAAATCCTGGCATCTCCAATAGGCATGGCAGAAGGTAAGAATTCTTACCATGTGAGTCTTCTGGATTTCTGCCTGAAGGGTCCAGTGGAAATTAGAGTGGTGTGAGTCCTTTTTTTCCTTTTCTAAATTTAGATTAGTAGGAAAACCTATTTGTGAAACTAGTTCCTTGGGTATAGCCACTCTGGTAAAGATCTATTATGAGTACTCTTGATTTTTTTGAGTACTTTTGATTTTTATTGATCCTTTTCCTCCCAGAGACAGTCACTGTTTTCCTTTGTCTCTGCTGTGTTGTCATAAGAAGGAAGACCATAGGGTAGAGAACACAGGCTCAGGCCCTATAAGTCTGCTGTTCAAGCCGGCCTCACTGATTGGTGAACTCATGGTTCTCACCAGACCGGTGTCTGTTTATACAAACTTTGCTGTGGGTTAATGAGCACATGAGGTAAACGCTGTTGCTAAGAAACATCTTGGAAGCCAAAGTCACAAGATTGGAGGGTATGGGTCAAGTATTTAAGAGCTATTACAGCACTGGCCACGTAATCCAAAGACTCCTGTAATAGAGTAAGTTGGAACAGAACAGGTTAGATTCCTATTAGGTCACCTGTCAAACTCAAAAAAAATTCCATGCAAGTTACTCTGTAAACCACCACACGATCCCCCAACCAGTGGAACATCCATCTTAGGTATTAGTTTAGTTCGAGAGACTGGCTTAGCTAAAGCTGTTAACATACATATACAAGAAGCTAAATAAGGTTTTCCTTTTGTCTTGTTCTATGTCTTAGAGAGTGTGGTTGTATGACCAGTGAGAATATTGTCTCTTGTCTCTGCCAGCCAGAAGATGCACATACCAGTGTGCATCTTGATGTATGTGCATCTTGATGGCCAAAGAGACTGGGGTTCTGAGACATGAAATCACAAGCAGCACTCTTTTCATCTAACTGTGCCAGCTCTCAGGGGAGTCTGTCAGAAGGGGTCCCATCCCAGTCCATAAGTGGCTCTTATGGCAACATTCTTTGTTTTCCTAGTGTTGGAAAAAACCCATTCTAGTAATGTCTGGTGTCAGATTAGTGGGTCTGGGACTGGAGGTGTTTTTTGTGAGAAAACAGAGACAAGGTTTTCATACCATTCTTACAGCCTGTAACAACAAAGGGCTTTACTTTCTGACTATCTTTGGGAGTGAATTTTCAGGATCTTGTAAGGACTGCATCTTTTGCACTCTCTTGTAGGATACCTCTTGCATCCTTGGTTAAGCCATAAAAAGGCTTCCTGATTTGAACCACTACTGACATTAATAGATGCTACTTGTTGGGGCACCTGGGTGGTTCAGTCAGTTAAGCATCTGGCTCTTGATTTCGATTCAGGTCATGATCTGAGGGTCATGAGATTGAGCCCCATGTCAGGCTCTGTTATCAGTGGGAAGTCTGCTTAAGATTCTCTCTCCTCTCCCTCTGCCTGCCACCCACTTCACGTGAGTGCACTCTTTCAAATAAATAAATCTTTAAAAAACATAGATTCTACTTCTCAATGGCCAGATGATGGATCTTCAGAAATGAAAAAGTTCTATATTAGAAAAAAATTTTTAGAGAGCTCTCATCCTAAACAATTGTCTTAATGGTACTTATGGGAAGACCAAATTAAAAAGTAGACACAAAGACACAGAAGAGCTAGCCTTAGAGACTCCTTTAACAAGATGTAAGAATAGAAATGAGAATAAAAGCTGTGAAGTCCCCAATATGAATTCCCCTTCTTAAAATCTGGTCCATCTCTTCAGCAAATTCTTTAGTCCCCAGAGCTCCTTCACCTTCCTCAGAAAATCCCTTAAAGCACTTAGCTGCTCGTTTCAGCTTCCCCTTCCCTACAATATTTACAGGGAGCACTCCAGCATGATCTCTAAGACCGGGGTAGAGAGGTTACTCAGGTAAACACTGAAAGTCAGAAAATAAACTTAACAGAAGTACCTAGGATGGACAATAAGCCTCAGACATAAGGCTTATTTTGCTGGGTTCTATAATCAGGCTCCTCCAGTTTCCTCCTAGGCAATGTCCCGAAGAATTTCATGTCCCCTGGACAGCAGATCTTTTAAATTATAAAGCCCTTACCTCGGGGAGCCTGGGTGGCTCAGTGGGTTAAGCCTCTGCCTTCGGCTCAGGTCATGATCTCAGGGTCCTGAGATCGAGCCCTGCATCGGGCTCTCTGCTCGGCAGGGAGCCTGCTTCCTCCTCTCTCTCTCTGCCTGCCTGTCTGCCTACTTGTGATTTCTGTCAAATAAATAAATAAAATCTTAAAAAAAAATAAAGCCCTTACCTCTACTTTCAGGAGCCTACCATATTTAAAGAGGGATTCAAAAAATTAATGGCCATTTACAACTCCACTCAGCCAGACCACCTCCTGAAAACCTCCCCCTGCCTGGAATTTCTCCCAGGCCCTCCTACAAATATCAGGCCGACAGGGAGGCTTTTCCCCTTAAGGTAAATTCAAAGTTGAACTGAAACACTAAGAAAGAAGGTCTTTATTAAAATGCTCTATACAGGGGCGCCTGGGTGGCTCAATGGGTTAAGCCTCTGCCTTCGGCCCAGGTCATGATCTCAGGGTCCTGGGATCGAGCCCCACATCGGGCTCTCGGCTCAGCAGGGAGCCTGCTTCCCCCTCTCCCTCTGCCTGCCTCTGCCTACTTGTGATCTCTCTCCCTCTGTCAAATAAATAAATAAAATATTTTAAAAAATAAAATAAAATGCTTTATACAGACTTTACAAAACTGCATTAAACTTGGAAAATGTTTGCTGTCTATCTGGCTAAAAACTGACAAGGTTTTTTTTTTTAGGGATGCCTGGCTGGTTCAGTTGGTAGAATATCCAACTCCTGATCTCAGGATCATGAGTTCAAGCCCTATGATGGCCATAAAGCTTACAGCTTACGTAGTTCTGTGGTAAGAGACTGGCCAGATTGAAAGCCAATATTCAGAGTCTGACAGGAACTTTTCTGGCCTCCTCCCCTAAGTTGAAATAAAACTATGTACCCAGAGGGAAAGAAAAATCTTCTAATGTTCTTGGGTAAGGATTCAAGTTGCAACCCAATTCTTGGAGGGACTGAGAGCACCTGTCCTTATCTTACAAATCTTTGCAAAACTAGAAATGCAACTCTAGAGGCAAATCAAAGTTCACCTACACCTTTTTACCATTCCCCAAAGCTCTATTTATCTCACAAGGCTTGTAAATATTGGCCTTAAGAAGCCGAAATTTATCTCAGATGAACTTGCACTCTTTCCCTATGCCTTTGAGATTTTAAGTGTAAACTCTTACCTAGACTATGCCCAATTCCTAAGAGTGCTGTGGGAAAAAAAGGGGGGGGGTGATAGAAACCTTTTTAAAATATAAACTGCTAGCTTTGCACAGTGGCAGCCAATAAGATTTATTTGAGACACGATTATTACTAATATGAACTGCTAAAAAGGCTTTTGTGCCTCAACTCTAGACTACAGCCTCCTTAAATACTACTTGTCAAGGACAAATACAAATCTTGTAAGTCTTCTCCATAAATATGAGCTAAAAAGCTTCTATTCAGGTAAGCTAAACTTATTCTGACTGTTCTAAGATTTTATTTATTTATTTTTTTAGATAGAGCATGTGTGCATGCAAACATGAGCAAGGGAAGGAATCGAGGGGGAGAGGAAGGAGGGGAAAAAAATCTCAAGCAGACTCTGCCCTGAGCACAGAGCCTGGCAAGGGGCTTGATCTCTTGACCCTGAGATCATGACCTGAGCTGAAACAAAAAAGTCGATAGCCACCCAGGCACCCCCCCAACGGTTCCTTTACAAACTAGTGAGTTTTGCATTATTATACCCATCTCATGGCTAAAATGCCCAATGTGGGGCTTGAACTCACGACCCTAAAATCAAGAGATGCATGTTCTATCAACTGCGCCAGTGAGGGACCCCTCTCATGGTTAACATTTTATTATTATTTTTTTAAGATTTTATTTATTTATTTGACAGACAGATCACAAGTAGGCAGAAAGGCAGGCAGAGAGAGAGGGGGAAGCAGGCTGCCTGCTGAGCAGAGAGCCTGATGCAGGGCTCGATCCCAGGTTCTGGGATCTTGACCTGAGCCGAAGGCAGAGGCTTTAACCCACTGAGCCACCCAGGCGCCCCTGGTTAATATTTTAAAACAAGATCTCTACCTGCATTTATCTATATATTTATCTCTGTGCTGTAGATGGGTGGCATTTTCTATCTCCAGATGGTATTACTAAAGTTAATTTGTTAAAAAGCTCTATAAAATTAAATGCTTATAAATTAGGTATCCCGAAAGTTCTCAGAAATATAACAGCAATTAACCCAAATGCTTCTCAGGTTCATGTGATCTGGAAAAATACTCAGTACTGAAGCCAGCTGAAGTTCATTAGTTTAAAATAAGATAGGAATCTGCTTGAGACTCTCTTCCTCTCCCCCTGCCTCTCCCTCATGTGGCCTCACTCTTTCTCAAATAAATAAATATTTAAAAAATAAAAAATAAAATAGGCATGTCTTTAGAGTTATCAACACTGATTATAATGCAGACATTCAACTTCTATTCTGCCTACGTTTACTAGTCAAGTATGTAGCTCTTACGGAAAATAGCTTGGGGTGACGGCTGTCTAATGTCTCATGAAGTCTTTCTGAGTAGTCTAAACACAACCGTTGGGAGCAAGTGATTTAGTCAGATGTGAGATGTAAGTGGGGTAGAGGTTTTTGGTTGAATTTTTGAGCAGTTAACTATATTTTACAATATGTGTACTTAAAAAATAGCTTCTAGGGACACCTGGGTGGTTCAGTGGGTTGAAGCCTCTGCCTTTGACTCAGGTCATGATCCCAGGGTCCTGGGATTGAGCCCCGAGTTGGGCTCTCTGCTCAGCAGGGAGCCTGCTTCCTCCTCTTTCTCTGCCTGCCTCTCTGCCTACTTGTGATCTCTGTCTGTCAAATAAATAAATAAAATCTTTAAAAAAAAATAAATAAAATAAAAATAGCTTCTAAAATCTTTTTGGTAACTTTACTTTTTTTAAGGATTTTATTTATTTATTTGGCAGAGAGAGAGAGCACAAGCAGGGAAAGCAGCAGGCAAAGGGAGACAGAGAAGCAGGCTCCCACCTAGCAAGTAGCTGATGTAGGGCTTGATTCCAGCACCCAGGGATAATGACCTGAGGTGAAGGAAGACGCTTAACTGACTGAGCCACCCAGGCACCCCCTTTTTGGTAACTTTAGAGTTTTGCTAAGTTAAATGATGGAAGTTTACTGAATATCTAATTTCCAAGTAAGATAAAACAATGAAACATTAATTACTGAACAGAGGGGACGCCTGGGTGGCTCAGTTGGTTGGGCCGCAGCCTTTGGATCAGGTCATGACCCCAGCATCCTGGGATCGAGTCCCACATCGGGCTCCTTGCTCAGCGGGAGCCTGCTTCTCTGTCTGCCTCTGCCTGCCACTCTGTCTGCCTGTGCTCACTCTGACAAATAAATAAATAAAATCTTTTAAAAAAAATTACTGAACACAGGTTTTTATCTAGTTTTGGGTTCCTGTTACACATAAAGATAAATATGGGCCTATTAGTAAACACATTTTACACCACACTAAAAGACTAAAATGAAGAAGCATATGCTTATAGGAATTATAAAATGTACTCAAAAATTTGCCAATCTAAAAGAATACTGATGTAACTGATCACAACTGCTTATTAGTTTTAACCAGAAAAAAAAAAAGCAGGTTGTGTTTTTGGCTATGAAAGTGCATGAGGTATGGAGATGCATTTGTGTTACAGGAAAAGAAAGTAATTTGTCCTGAAGTCAATCTGGTTATTTCAAATTGGGAAAGGTGAAAAGAAAGGACAAATAGAAGTGGGAACACAGAGAGAGAGAGAAAATCCTACCTCATATAATCAAGCTGGCTAAAATTGAATTGTTGGGGTACCTGGGTGGCTCAGTTAGTTAAGCATCTGCCTTTGGCTCAGGTTATGATCCTGGGATCCTGGATCAAGCCCCTAATTGGGCTCCCCACTAAGCAGGGAGCCGGCTTCTCCCTCTCCCTCTCCCTGCTCATGCTCACTCTCTCTCTGGCTCTCAAATAAATAAAATCTTTAAAAAAAATTTGAACTGTTATTACAAGGGTTTTTGTTTGGGTGCCTCAGTGGCTCAGTGGGTTAAGTCTCTACCTTCAGCTCAGGTCATGATCTCAGGGTCCTGGGATGGAGCCCCACATCGGGCTCTCTGCTCGGCGGGGAGCCTGCTTCCCCCTCTCTCTCTGCCTGCCTCTCTGCCTACTTGATTTCT